CACCCTTCCTTCCACGTATCACTACTCAAACCTCACCACCCTTCTGTTTCTGTCTCCACAGAGCCTGGCCCAACGGAAGAACCCCCTCTTCCGTTAATACAGGAGGACGGTACCATCTACAAGGTCGACGAGATCTTGGACTCCCGGCGCCGTGGTGGGCTCTTGGAATACCTGGTGGACTGGGAAGGCTATGGGCCAGAGGAACGGTCATGGGTGCCCAGAGCTGATATCCTGGATCCCACGCTACTGGAAGCCTTTCACTCCACCCATCCAGCTTGCCCAGGGCCCAGAGGAAGAGGTAGGCCACCACGACATCGGGGTTTTCGGCCCTCAGGAGCGGGCCGTGGAGGAGGGGGTACTGTCACAGATCGGCCAGGCTCAGCCACCTCACAATCACAGCGAACACCATCACCTGAGTTCTAATCACACGCACCTGTCACGGATCAACAATCACCCTCAGCTCCCATTCATAAGCACACACCTCACATCACTCCAGTGTCCGATCTCGTTCCAACGAAGTGGACTCTCTCTCTCTATGATACCCGTAAGATCCATTGAAAGACTTACCTACCAAGTTGTACTTACCTCCAGTGTTCGTTCCAGTCCCTTGCTCCGTGGATACCCCGTTACTCATCGTCTGAGGTGTGTGCTATCCACTGTCTTCATTCCACGATCTCCTGGGAATCCCCTTACTAGAGTTCTCTCATCTTCCCAAAGGACTTCCGAACTAGCTAAATATTCACCTGCCCGTATCCTCTGCTTCACTTGCTGGAAATAAACATCATTGTTTCTCTCTAACCATCTGTGTGAGTCTCCTTCCGTAACAATTATACTATTTGTATATTATATTTGCATGTTGCTATTACAGTAATTGTTAAGCTGACTTTGAAAATGTCTTTCCAAAAAAATTCCTGCTGACAAAAATTCTGGAAAGCATTTTTTTGTTTGTTTTTTTAAAGTTGTGATATGATATAGGACCTTCTATTGAACGTACTGTCCATTGATTTCCTCACAGCCTCATTTTTATTCACGGAAAGGCAAATTATGGTGTCTACGGGGACTTTTGCCTCAGGCTTATTTGGGACACTTTAACCTCTAGCTTATATATAAACTCCTTTTTACACATTTTCATTACACAGTTTAGGTGAAATGTTGAAGTTCATCTTGTGCAACTCAGATTGTCTTGTGCTGCCCTTAGCGCATCTATCCAAATGACGAATTATACCTATCTTAAGCTTTAAAACAAAACTAACATTTCTGTGAGATAGAGATATATATA